TGATGTTTTGAGTAGTGGCAACAAAGAGATAACAGAATAACCTTCAGCAAGAAAACAACCATTCAGAAGAGGTTGCTTCTCCGCTAACAATAACGCTAATATTAATGCAATTAAAAGTCTATAGATGCTTCTTGATTTTCTCAATAAACAATCTGTTGTCTGGCCCTTGTCTTCTATCGTCAGACTACTAATACTTCAAAGCCCAAAACTTGAATCCTTATGTTTCACCGAGCTTATTATGCTTGCCTTCCTGATTCCCACTTACGAAATCAAGAAGATTATACACTGTGATATCAATAATTTCCATTTGCCGATGGTGAAATTCCAATCCAGACGGTGGGTGGGAATTATCATCATGACAAATTAAATAATGGTTATCACTTATAAGGATAGGTAGAAGTCACACGATCTGAGCTGATTCGACTCTCCCGTACACTGCTGTTGGACTGGGCCCCAACATGAGTAAAACGGATGTCCAGTGTTAAGATCACTTCATTCTGATTAGCAATCACTAGCGATTGTTTGATGTGACTGTCATCAAACTACTCATCTTAAGTAATCAGTAGTATGCAGTGATATACACTGAATACTATCTGTTACATAACTAGAATATGAAAAAGAGGTGTTCAGCGAAGAGACTCTTTTCGGCGAATTCATTCCCATTGCTGTACAATCGCATTTATATATAATTATTTGTGTGTATGTGTGTACATGAGGTTTGTCAAGTTTAGATAATTGATCAGGTAATGCAAGAATGATCTTATATAGAAACAAGGTTAATTAGACAGCAGCTAAAGTAAGATTAAGTTAATAAGTTAGATGACGTAATATAATTGCCCAGAATATTCCAGCTTATTTCGGGGTGGCAACAAAGTTAATTACAGTTAGAGACTAATTAGAGAATAATGCCTTTTAAACTAGAACTAAAATTGAGCGAATAAGTTGGATGACTTAACATAAATGACTAGAAATTGAGCGTTGGTCAAGTCAGTAACAGTGGCAATGAAGTGTACAAATTAAATCGGTTGGAGTTAGAGAACAGGAAGGTTGAAAATGTAAAATATTACAATTCAGAAGAAAAAAAATACTAATGAAGAGACAGAAGAGAAGATTAGGTAGAATTTACTTGTCAGGTAATAAGATAGATTACATCCACTGCAAGTGTAGGGATTGAACGAACTTCTTCTGTATGCAGAGTTAAGGACTTAGCAAGTGAATCGCCATTGCTTCTGCAGTTTGAAGAAGTCTGATTCGCACACTTTTAGGAAGATCGCTTCGAATTCTGTAGGAGACTTCGAAGTTTGTTTAGGGTGTAGCTTGATGCTTGGGCTCTATCAGATGTTCTGAGAAAGAGCTGTGGGGGCATCGTTTTTCTCCTTTGTAAAACCATGTTAGTAAGTGTTCGGTAGTACGTTTGGAAAGCGAACGTTGGGTGCACGTTAGAATAACATTTATTTCAGAAAGTCCTTTCAAATTCCCTATCGTCTATTCCCTTATTTCCAAGTGAGATACATAGCTTTAAACTCTGAAGTTCCCTTATTGATGGTATTGTTTGCACCGGATGAGGTTGCTATCCTCACACTTAACCCCTCCCAAATGTTTCGGGCTTCCTGCCAACTAGGACTAAGTCAGCCACAAAACCGAACCTGCAGGGGAAAGCATCATACCACTTTAACCACATGTGCACAATAAATTCACTGCAAAATAAATATTCACATTTTCAATGGTTACGATATTGTGGATAAAAAACATGGTAATTGAAACATTGGACGTTTCAATATGTCCAATGTTCCAAATAAATTTCCAGTTCAAGTTTTCTTTGAAAGGAATCTTTTTCCCAATTTCAATTATTCTAATCCTTTATCACATATTTAACATATTTCTATAATATTCTCCTTTTCTGTACATGTTTTTTCTATGTGAGGTGAAAGAATGCAGCATTCAATGTTGCATGTGTCAAATAACAAACAAAGCATATTTGTTTTAAATTACATTATTGAACAATTGAAGATGAATTATTCAATTGAAATCTGAATAAAAAAGAGTAGAGAATAAATAAATTGAGACAGAAGTGATGCAATGCAAGAACAGGGCAAGTGAATCTAATGCAATAATGCAGTAGAGTGTTTGAAAATTGGAATGCGAGTTGTGCTTGACATTAGTCTTTGCTTTGAAGATGTCTACATGGAAGTGTGTTCCATGGTAACCTGATCTCTGCTATTGACTCTAACCATTTTAATCTTTCTATTCGCGTACAGCCATAGGATCTTCGGTGATTGTGCTTTTGTGTGTGTTTGTGTGTGCTAGCGTGCAATGTGTTCGCCTGTTTTGACGAGAGGTGAAATGACTTTGATGGAATTTCTGCACTGGTGCTATAGAACACGTTTAGTGAATTCGACTTCTTTTGTCTTGGCTATGCATACTTTAGATTCACACACACATTCACACACAGTCACAGACAGAGACACAGGTGTGTAGTACACACAGGTACAGACGCGAACGGTCAGTGTAGTAACTGACATTGAAGAGAGTTCATGAGGTGAACATCAAAGAGAAGTGGTTTTGTGTCAATTGAGGTGAGAATTTAATGCCTTAAATGACCTGAGTAACTTTGATTTGATGGAGTATTTGTGTAAGTGTATGAGATGAGTATTCTTTTGGCAGAGTTGGAAGCATATATTATTTACAGGTGTCGGTCATCTGTCATCTGCAAGGAAACACCTTCATCCACTGGAGAATTTTTGTCACATGCAAGTGCTTAGTCTTGAAGAGGGTTGTCATGCATCTCTTGAGTTCCACTGCTTATTGGAATCAAAAGGAAGACATCATGTTTTGTGACATGTTATCGATATGGAGGGAAGCGTTGTGTAGTTTGACTCATAATTCTCGAAGTATGTAGAAGGCTTTAGTTCCTCAATGAAATAGGATTTTGAGTATTCTTAAACCCTGCCTGAATTTTTAATTTTAGTTTGAAGAATAACATCCTTGTTGAGAGATTCCTTTTGTCAAGTTGGCGTGAGTTTATTCGGCATAATTCATGTAATTGTAATTTTTAAATTTCTGCTAGATTGTGCGTCAGTGGTACAGCGGTTAGGACTCCCGCCAACCATGCAAATGGTCCGGGGTTCGATCGCCTGCCGACGCACACCTGACATCAATGGTCGGCCTGCAAAATTTGGGCTACCGATATCGCATGCCTAAAATTCCGTACTTGTACCAAAAGTAGGGTATGAAATCAAGCTATAATAAAAAAATGCTAAACAACACGTATCCACTTTGTCCAATTTTCTTTTGTCTTCTCATGCTGGTGCCATATTTTCCCATAATCACATATCTCTAAATCACATGATCTCCTGCTTTTCACCTTTGGAGTTGTACTTATCGTCCAACAATCCAGTTTTATTCGATGATAGCCCGTCGCTTGACGTTACTGATCGATCTTCTCAGCGTGTATTTAATGTATCTCCATTTCTTCCTGAATATTTCTTGGACAATAGTTTCTAAGTTAGTTCTTCCCCCAAGTTCCCTTAAGCTTGTGCTTTTGGCCATCTGTACATCAGCATCAAGTAAAAACGCCTGTTGACGCAGCAGGCGTCTTTGGGAAATTTTTTCCGTGACATAGATGCCATGTCTCGGAACCCCATGGAAGCACTGATATAACATAATTCTTGGAATTTCAAATCTTGTTCCTTATCCCATGTGGAGTAATCTTGCATACTGTTATCAGAGTAATGGCCTGTCTTATTTATTTCGATGCTGCTTGCCCTTAACATCTAAATCAGTGCAACCTGCAGTTGAATCGAAGTTATCCAAGTAAGTAAAATAGGTGACCACTTCGGACTTCATCCGAACAACGCATTTGGTCAGATGTCAGTTCCCAAATGATGCACTTCTAAACTTCTCCTAGTGAAGAGTAGACCCAGAAAAGAGGGAAGTTTTTGCATTAGGATAGATTTACAATCCCACAAAGAAAAACACAAACGCCACTGGTGCTTCGAAACTTTCAACCTGAAGGAGTAGATTGAACTCGGAACGGAGATGAATTCAAGTGAAAGGCAAACTTCCAAAGACATAAAATATTTCTGTGTAGGTTCTTAAACACCTACGTTTTGTAAAACAAATTGCGACGAAGAAGAATTCTTGTAAATTTTTGAGTTGAACACCTTCAGTGTCACTACTGATAGCTCATTTCTTTGTTTTCTTACTTGTTTTCAAATACTGGTTTTGTAGGGATTTTGTTTGATTGCATGGAGGATTTCATCATGAGCTGAAATCGGTTAGAGAACCGTTGGAAAACCTGGAAGTACTGGACAGTCGCTTCGTCCTAGTTTGGGACTCTTCAACAGTACGCATCCACCGCGATTCCAACCCAGGACCTTCTGACCACAAGGCGAGCTCTGATGCTCGTTAGTGATTGGCCCTATTCAGCTAGTTAACCTGGGGTTCTAGTGGGAAACCGTGACCAGTAGAGTAGAGTAGGTTGAAGATGAGGCAGTAACTCATCGAAGAAGATATTGCGAAATGGTCGCGCTATGTAGTGAATTGGCAGAAGTTAGAATTTAAGGACCATTGGATGATGTCCCAGTGGCTCAATAGTTTACGAGATCGCCTTGTAACCAGGAGGTCCTGGGTTCAAATCCTGGTTAGTGCGTACTGATGAAGAGTCCCAAACTAGGACGAAACAGCTTTCCAGTACTCCCAGGTTTTCCAATGGTTCTCTAACTGATGTCAGCTCATGATGAAATCCTGTAACCAATCAAATCCCTACAAACCAACACTTGAAAATAGGTGTTTTGTTGAAATATGTCCAGTCAATGGAGGTGCTATGCCATCTTAGCACCTTAAATTGTTATTGTCTACCAGTGGGAGAATCTCTTCCCATCTCTCTCCTCCATCTGAGTATACAACACACTTAACTGATCTCTAATCACTTTCTCTCTCTCTGCCTCCGTGACACAAACACTCTCTGATTGTTTTTGTGTGTTTTTTACTTCCCTTAGGACTCCATCTATTCATTTATCACAAAGTTATGCATATCAATATCAACCTGCATTCTACTGGGGCTAATTCTTGCTTATCATGTTTATGTGATCAAGGTGAGTTGTAGTCAGTGATACATTTTCTATTGAATAGGTGTATTTACCCCTTAATTATTATTATTATTGTTGCTATTATTAATTATTTAACCTTTATCATCTCATCAATCTTATAAAGTTTATGGAATGGATTTATGTTCAAAACAACTGTGTCAAATTTATCATCACTAGTTTTTACTAATGTCTAAAATGAGTGAGGACAATTAAACAATGTGGGATTATAGGCATTTATAGGCATTTTTTTCACGAGTTGATCCCGAATTGATATCAGTTAGAGAACCATTGAAAACCAGCCCACAGAGAGTACTGGACAGCCAGCTGTTTCGTCCCACTAGATTGGGAATCATTGGTAGTACCCACCCACCACCAGGAGTTGGAGCCCAGGACCTTCCAGTTACAAGGCAAGCTGGCTCGTATACCATTCAGCCAATGGGACCCAATTCGATGGCCAGCCCATGAATTCTAACTTCTACCACTTTGTGATTTAGCACTACTGGCACCAACCACTGTCACTGGCGTACTGCCGATGATTCCCAAACTGGTGGGATGAAACAGCTGGCTGCCCAGTACTCTCTGGTTTTCAATTGTTCTCTAACTGATATCAGTCCGTGATCAACCATAGAGAATTATAGGCATTTAGTTGATTAATTAGTTTTAGTTTAGATTACGAACGGACATGGATTAAGCAAACACAAGAATCAAGAGGCTACTTACTGTTGGATGGATGTTTCGTTCTTGTCTATGACTCATCGACATTTCTCACCAATAACTTAAGTAAGGATCTAACTCTCTGGTTACAAAGTTAGTTCACTGAGGATTAATTCACTTGGACAGAAACCAATAGGCTATGGGTAGGCGTACTTGAATTTCTGGTTAGAATTAATAATAAGTAGGAAGTGTTTTGCTAGTATCACTGTACTCATAGACATAGAGATTCAACCTATGGGAGTTAAAGAACCTCGATTCCAAAGTTATAGTGCCTTACTGTCCTTATGAATCAGACTGTTAGGATAGAAACCGACTCATTGTGTGTGCTTGAGTGCATATCAGTTAACTTACGAACTGAGTGAATGCCATTGTGCGAGTATTTTTAATTGGAATATGCGAAAACAAGGTGTTCTGTTCAACTACATTTTATTTTACTACTATTTATGTGTTTGTCAAGAATAACAGCGGCTTGTGCAGAATAAGATGATACTATCGTTTGTTTCATCGGCTTCTCATCAGCTGCATACAGTCTAAACAAAACATTGTAAAACAACCAGGAAGTTCTAGACAGCTATTGGTTTCATCTTATTTTGGCACTCTTCATCAGTACTCTCCCACGAACCCAGGAAATTCTGGTTACAAGGCGAGCTCGTAGACCATTCAACGGGCACTGGAATCCGATCCAATTGATAGTCCACGAATTCTAACTTCTGCCAATTCACTGTAGATAAGGGGAGAGGGGTTATAGCCAAAGGTTACTTAATTAAATGAGACAGACAGAGACAGTAAAGACATTCAGTTACCTAGGTAGGGAAGGATTGATAACTTTTTGTTTCTGAACGCATAAATACAGGATTTCAGGCGTTTCACAGCGATCGCCACAGCAAATTTGAGAACAACTGAATTACTTTATCTATTAATGATGCTAATAGTTTTGATGATAATACTAATTCTGCACATAATGTCAAATCTTCAGCGTATTTGGTTCCAAAATGTCCCCTCATCATAAAGGATTTACATGTAAAGTAATAATTTGAAATATGTCGAGTGACTTAACCTGTACATTTTCTCTTCATTTCCTTCAAGAATTCCACAGCGTTCAGCTGAAATCTGATTGAATATACGGTCTAGTTCATGTAGTGGTCATCTGATATGAATGCACGATTGAAACAATAAGAAGTGTAGAAAAGTTTAAGCAACATTTAGATGGATGGAAATTCAGGTACTCCTGGGATTTAAGCATTCCGGCTCATGACCAATAGTTGCCTGACAATGGCACTATCGTAAGCGTTTATCCCATTGAGACGCTGACTTTCAGTAAATGTTTCTCATCCTAGGCTTTAACCTCCCCTTGTATAGAGTATAGTTTGACTTGTCTCTTGTTGAAAACATTTATTTCCCGATACGAATTTAAAACAAACAACAAAGGTTAATAATGAGTTCATCAAATTTCGGTAGAACTCAATGATATAAGAATAAAACTTGTGCACTGTGGTAGGAAGATTGAAAGAGGTCAAAAGAAAAGTAAAAAGAATTGGGAAACTAGTAATAATAATATAAATAAGAGAGAATATAAGTCATCTACGTTTATACCACATAAAGAGGGGACATCTGAAACCCTCCCTAAGTAGGATTCTAAATAAAGCAGGAATTAGGGTGGCATTTAAACCTACAAACTCACTCAGGGACAAGCTCTGTAGGTTAAAGAACCCAGTAGACCCAATTAAACAAAATAATATAATTTACGAAATACCCTGCAATGACTGTGAGGTCAACTACATAGGTGAAACTAGTAGGTCAGGGGTAGTCAGATTGTCAGAACATGAGAATTTAGCTAAGGTAAGAATGGTTGACCCAGAGAAGATAAGTAATTTAGAAAAAAGCTCGGCAATTGCAATGCATGCAATAACACACAACCACACAATAGGGTGGGAGAGGGTTAAAATTCTAAAAAGTAATCTAGGTAGGTGGAGAGAAAGGTTGATTACTGAATCTTTGTTCATCGAATCTACACCCAATACATGCAATAGGAATGAATCACCACTCATACCTGAGATATGGAAAATAATACTACCAATTAAATCAAGTGAAAAACAACGGAACATTATGAATGAATTTAGGAAGTCGTGTGATTACCTTGATATGATTATGAGCTATAAATTGTGCTCGAAACGTCATCAGTAAACTTTACTGTATAACACTGTGGGACTTCGGTAGAACTCGGCAGCTGAATACTCTACATACACGGATATATATAAATACTTTTGAAATTACACTGTGTGATATAGGACTGATAAGTAAATAAACTACATTGAAATAGTCATGCAGAAAGACAGTTGCGAATGTTTTCCAGGTCATGTTCAAATAGATTAGGGGAGAGAGAGTATGAGAGATCGAAATTAAGATAAAAAGCATTGCGCTTCAATTTCATCACTTAGATAAACAATTAGTCATTAGAGAATATAACAAGAATTGAAACCAGAATGATTTCAATAGCAATAGTTATAATAACAATAATAATAGTGTTTAAGTGAGTAAAGATAACGCTACTGATAAAGGATAATTTTAAATGAATCAAGAAAAATAATAATAGGTGAAATAATAAGTAAAACGTATTACCAAGGTAGATTTAGATTGACGACAATCGCCTTTTGTACACAGAGGCCTGATTAATAAACTCGAATTGCACAAGCCTCTGCAATTGCAAGCATATTCCTCTTTCTTTGTCTGCTGACAATAGTGAATAACTTGAAAGCGCGTCAATATCATGTCCGTAGTCCATGAGATGTTTTGTTATTGAGGTTTTCGGCACTTTCCACTCAGCTGTTTTCAGCCATTTCGGCGAATGCTCCATCATCTGATGACTTCTACCAAAATTTGATGAATCCTTCTTTAATCACCTCTGTTGCTTGTCTCTTGTTGTCTGTGATTTGAGTTGAACTCATTGCATTATTACTTAATACATTAGTTAGACCTAATCTAGTTCACATCTTGTGTGCATTAGCTGACTCCTTTAACACTGTATGCAAAGAATTAATTCTTGTTTAAACTTACACTCCGGGTGTAAGCTGTGTGGGTGTAATTCTCTGAGCAGTGTTTATAAGCTTAAGAGCATTCTGTCAGAGGACTCTGCGAGTAGTTTAAAATTGTTCTATAGATAAACTTGATAATTTGTTTAGATTGTATGCAGCTGATGAGAAGCCTGCGAGACGATAAATGGTACCATCTTATTCTACATTAAGGGGGAATAAATGTGTCAAGTTTCCACTAATTGTTCTCTTTTTCTTTAAAATTTCAACTGAGTGACATCGTTATTTTTTTGCTTATTTTTGTTTCCAAATTCTAGATATTTTCTTGTGATGATTCTATTGAAGACTGGCGAATGGCAGTTGACTATAATCGTGTATTTCAAATGACTCTTGAAGTACTTATTTGTATGATACATCCATTCCCCGGATCATATCTTATCCAATTCCCAATATCGTCTTCCTTTGTTGGTCCAGGCACTGAAATCTACTCACCCCTATATCATAATTCACAGTCTGTAAAATCTATGAATATAGACAGTGGAACATCGACATTGTCTGTAGCATCAACACAACAACAACGGGCGGGTCAACTACAACTACAACTACACCAACAATACTGTCTAAAATGAGCATAAATAAAACGTATACGCCTAGACCTTCAGCTTCTCTCTCCTCTATACCGTTAGCATCGCATACCTCAATAGATCGTATTCCTACAGGTTCAATTAAAATGGTCTCCATTGATCTGATATTATCAGTTCCAATGTTTTTTAGATTATATCTACTATTTCGTGTTATGCTGTTACACTCAAAATTGTTTACAGACGCTGGATCACGTAGTATTGGTGCAATGAATAAAGTGAATTTTGATACAAAATTTATTTTTAAAACACTTATGACAATGTGTCCTGGTAAACTTCTACTGGGCTTTATTTTATGCCTATGGATTGTTTACTCATGGACGTTAAGAGCATGTGAAAGGTGAGTTATACCTGCTTATTAATCATTGCGAAACTTTTATTATATTATTATCATTATTATTGCTCCCTCTAGTTCCTAGATGAATACAGGGCTCCAGCCGCACGTCTCCATTGAGTTAGGTTCTCCGCCAACGTTTTCATCTGGCTCCACGTCTGCCCACATGTTTAAATCTCCTCTTCACATCACCTCTTCCTCCATGTCACTCCACCCTCGCACTGACGACCAACTCACCAATTCCTATTCAGGTCCTACTTGTGCAATGGCCTGTCGTGTGATGTCACTTGATGGTTTTCTCAGATTATGGCCAATCCACTTCCATTTCATCTTGCATATTTTTTGCACAATCGGTACCTTTTGGGTTGGTTTGTTCCCAAAGATTTCTGTTGCTGATCTTTTCTGGCCGGCCAACTGATCTTGAGCGAAGTATTGAGCCAAGACAGTTGTTGATGGAGGTCTGTAGTTTGTTCGAAGTGCTCTTCATAACACTCTAAATCTCTCATCCATAAATTATCACTGAAAACATTGAAAGTCCAGATCATATTTTTCATGCTGAGTGCTGTTGATATCCACACAGATTTGAGCGAAATGAAAGCTTGCTTTGCTTTCCAGATCCCCGCTTTGATATCCTCATCAGTTCCTTTTGTAGTTGGAACGATGCTTCCCAGATGGGACGTAGGTAGGTAGGTGAAAAAGGTTGCTACTTTCAGGTTCCTTCCATTTATGCTGATTGTTGTCTGTTGTTGTCACCATTGCTGTTGGCCAAGAATCTTCATCATCTGTATTTTCTCTATGTTCACCTGAAGAAAGTCTTGTTTTCTCTGGATGCTTCTCCTGCCAACTCGTTCCTTTTCATTTGCACATCTTCCAGTTTGTGGTGAATCAGACATCATCAGCGAAGTCCAAACCCTCCAAGTCTTTTGCGTGAGTGCATTTTATACCTGTTCACTCACTACCCACCGCCGTCTGACGCATTATCCAGTCTACCGCAATGAGGAAATTAATCACTGGAGTTAGTAGGCAGCCAGCTTGTCTTCACTTCGAAGGATTCCGTGAGTTTTCTGTTGTAGATTACGTGGCCTGCAGCATTCTCGCACAACTGTTGGATGTGATGTATGATTGTTGGCGGCACCCCGTAGTAGCGAATTAGTTGCCAAATCACCTTTTGATGATGCTATCGAAGGCCTTTTCAGAGTCAGTAAATAGGAGGTAGACAGCTGACTGCCTATCAAGGATCTGTTCAATCATGATCCGTAGTGTGGCGATTGGATAGATGCATGACTTGTTCCTCCTCAATCCAGCCTGTTCCGGTCGAAGTTTTTCATTCAGGGCTTGTTTGATTCTCTCCAGGATGATGTGGCTTAGTATTTTGCTTGGAATGGACAGGAGCATAATGCTGTGCCAGTTATTGCATTGACCTAAGTTCCTTTTCTTTGCTAGTTGGAATAAGCAGCCTTTTTTCCTATCCGCAGGTAGCTTGTCCTCTTTCCACACCTTCTCCAGTAGTGGTGTAATCAATTCCGCTGATATCTCTTGGTCCATTATCAATGCTCCTGCTGAGATTCCGTCTGATCCCACTGCTTTTCAAGTGTTTAGCATCTAGATTCCATTCATGATTTCAGTTCTCTTTGGAGGGTTCTGCTTCCACTGCGCGTATTATTGGGTGTCTTATAGGTGATGGTCGATTTAGAAGTCTTTTAAAATGTTCAGCCCAGCGTTTCCTTCGCTCCACCTCTTCGGTGATCGACTTTCCATTATCATCCTGCACTGACTTGATTTGTGTTGAACGTTTCATCGATATGAACCTGGTTGTTTGAGAGGTCTCCTTTCCCTGCACTGCAGCTTGCTCTGCTTCACTTGCCTTTTTTTATTTTTTTTTATCCTTCACGTTCCCAGTGGAACATAGGGCTTCAAGCTTGTAGCTGGAAGTTTCTGTAGCAGTGTTTATTTTACAGGATGGGGTTGCTAGCCTCATGCCCAGCCTTTCCTCTTCACCAGCATTATTTCTGGCTTAGCGAGGCAAAGGAGTGCGTCGGCCGGGGATCGAACCCCGGACCATGTGCATGGTCGGCGAGCGTCCTAACCGCTATGCCACCGACGCTCACTTGCCATAGCTTCATAATATTGTTTTTCGTCTTCCCTGGCACTCTTCTTTACTCTATTGTTCAGTGTATTGTTTTTGTTGCTCGTCAATGCACGTGATAATCTTTTGTTTCAACATAGAAAACTTTTACTATTTTAAAATTAATAACTACTGATAGTTTAAAATACGTCCTAGACTCTCTAGTTGGACTTGCAGGTAGAATTCTTGCCTTCAGATCGAAGCTAAGGCAGCTAGGTAGTAGGAACAAGCTCATAACCATATGTTCACTTCATTTGGCATAACATTATCACATTACATGCAGAAATAAGAGGTCTCCTTCAATTAATCTCAGGAAGGGAGGTAGATAGCAATGTTAACAGGTACATAGATAGATAGAGAGATAGAACACTCTTACATCATCTTGATTGTTGTTGCTCCCCATGTGGCTGAGTCAACTTTGATTGGACTCACAAACACTAGTAACTAGTGTGACGTGTATAGTCCCTGGTATTGGTGTAGACTGAATTCACCATCAGTCAAGTTTGCAATGTTGCCACAATTCTAGGAAGCTCACCATCATGGTGCATAGTGATTTAATGATATTAGATGGTTGGAGGCAATCGGCGGGAAGGCTTGAACCTAGGTTTCGTGCTAGTTGACACTCATCAGCAAGGCGTTTCTGCAACATCGAAGAAACACGTATCCCTTCATGGATTCCTTCAAGGTTGAAGATAAACCTTGCTGAAGAGTGCCAACTAGCACGAAATCTAGGTTCAAGCATTCCTGCTGATCGCCTTCAACTATCTTATATCATCGGAGTGAGTCAACTGTTAGTAAAACGGTCTGCGCAATCACCTCAGCAAGTTTGAAAGAATAACGCAGAAGGAACGAACTCAAATGAACCCGAAGGAATTTTACCATTTTTCATTCTTCTGCATACCAAGTGAAGCTCAAAGCTTCAAGTCTGCGCTTTGACTCTTTAGTGGTAGTGTGACGACAGAAGACAAGGGTCAGGCAACAGATCATTTATTAAAGAAAATAAATGGATATTTATATATTTTTATGTAAACTACTGTTAGCGGAGAAGCAGCGTCTTCTGATTGGCTGTTTTCTTGCTGAAGGTTATTCTGTTATTGTTTTTGTGATCGTTTCTCAGAAAGTTAAGCCGTATATCTGCGAATCGTATTTGCTCATATTAAGTCTGCTTTAATTGATTGGTAAGTTTCTCAAGGTTAAGCTTTGTTAATGTTTTCCCCATGACCCCGATTTAGGACGAAAACACCGAAGTAAATTGTTGTCCACAATTCTGGGTAGCAGACAGCTATCAACACAGTAGTAGTGCTTTAATTTGACTGGGAATAGTTGCCAACGTCTCAAACAATCTTTTGTCTTTACCAGGCTTACCAAAAGCTAAGCGAGGTTTAGAAGTACATCGGTCGGGAATTATACTTAGTTCACGTAGATGGCTGGCAAGCATTCTACCCTTGAACTACCAAACTCTTCAGACTGAAAATGAACCCCCAAGAATACAAAGATTAAGGGTTAGAACTATTATTATCGTAGTGTGAACAGAAGGAGAAGCGAAGCGGTGTTGCGATACCTGGAATGATGAAACGGAATAGGATCATGAAGAGACAAGTGGTTCCTTCTCTATTCCAATATCTAAAACTTTAACAATTCAAATAAGGCCGACACGAAACATATTCACCATACAGAAAAACTTAAAGAAAGTGATTCTTCTGGAGGTAAGGCGATTCACTGTCTAGAAGATAGTGAACTGTAGATCCTCTTAACGATGCAATTCCATTTCTTCCTGATCATGCAGGGAAGTGTTCTTACCACGTTTTTTGGACAAAATCTGTTGTCATACTGCAAATGTATCCAATTCTGTAGCATTAGGTGTACCCGGTGGTCCACTAGACTCAGTTATTCCACGGCAGTGAGATAAAGGGACACAACTCTGATTATTTTAGTCCTATTTAGATAACCTTGATCTGAATAGCAGGTACATTTAGTTGGCATAATTACACGTGAAATTTTCACATAAATCACCATTTCACCCTGAGTAATTCCAACGTTTCGTTCAGCAAACTGGTCCGAACTTCTTCAGGGAAATTAATCAAAATTAAGATAACAGAAGTTTATATGTGTAAAAAGGACATCTCTTGTTTTTTAAAATCTTTGTCCAATCATATAAGTCATGAAGTGTGATCAAAATTTGACCTCAGACTTACAGCTACATTAGCCTACTTTTGTTAAACACTGTAAACAGTGTGTACTTTTGCATCAGAATTTTACTGATTACGTTCGACTAAAAGTTCATGGTCGTAGATAATTGAATATGAAATATTACCAAAAACAAGGTCTTATCATTGTGTGTCAACTACTGAAATATAATTATAATTTATTTGATCTATTCCACAATGCTCAAACTTTTTAATGACATTAGTGAAAAATACGTTCAAGTCTTCAGAGGTCTTTGGAACCACCTTTAGGCATTGTTTATGCTCTTTCACTCTTATATTTACCTGTGTGGAGGTTTCTCCTACATATATGGCGTCACAGTCCCCACAATTGTTCTGGTACACATAGTTCTGTTGGTCGTCCTATTCCAATTTATCCAAAGCCTTCACCACTGGTGAGCGTAAGGTGCCCGTTGCATGAAAATACACTCTTATTTCATGATTGTTAAGGATTCGCTTTATCTCATCCGATGTATCTTTGCTCTAAGGCATCACCCCTGTGCTAACCTGTTACTAAAACAGGTTTCAATTCATCCTTACCTTCACATTTTAAATATCTTTTTGCAAGGGCTTTGTGACAGTCATTTGATTCAAGAGTGGACTGAACCAATTTTAGTTCCCTGTTGATTTATTCCTCCTTATTAACTAGACGACGTTCGGCTGTGTCAGTCAGATTC